AGTCATTTCAGGAATCACTGCTCTGGGACTGGAAACTGCAGCAGCAAGGGATCTGCCTCACTTCATTTAAAGTTCATGGACTTTAGGATATCGAGGGGGAAAATTCTGGGTGTTTGGAACTGAGATGGCTCTGCCAGGCTATGAGCTGGAGGCCAAGACTTATAGGAAACAGTTAAGAAGGAGAAGGGGGGGACAGAGAATGAGATGGTTGGATGGCATCAATGACTCAATGGACAGGAGTCTGAGCAAATTCCAGGAGATGGTGAAGGACAGGGAAGCATGTAATACATGGGGTTGCAAAGAGTCAGACATGACTGAGAGACTGAACGACAACAAGAAGCTTCAAAGCATATGTGTGGTGAGAAAGACTAGAAACCCTAGGGCTGGGCTAGCCATGAAAGAATGGATCATTGTGCCTTACTAGGCCACCTCTAAGCTCTAGCTCTTGTGTTTGCTCCAAATCTACCAGAACTAGCTGCTGCAGTCCAGCCCCGAGCACCAGCAGGGACAAGGAACAGGAACCCTGGGGTCTGCATCCCCAGACAGCTCGCAGGCTCACAGGGCTCACCTTGGCATCAGTCCAGGGAGTGCCCTGTCAGATTCTGTCCTGTCTGCTTATTGTGAGGCTCAGAGGACCTGAAGCCCTGTCTCATGCCCCCCCTTTTGCTGGGGTGCTCAGTAAATACCTGTCCTGCCCAGTTCTGTTCTGGGCACTGAGGGTGGAGAGAACAACGAAGCAGAATTTGATGGGTTCTGCCCCCAGGAGCTCACCACTAAGAGAGCACACCGCCTCCAGGGGTCCCCAGGGCAGCCCCATTCCCCTCAAATGCTTCATGACTCTCATTGTGAGGGGCCTAGGCTGTTCTTTCTTCTCTTTTTCTCAAACTGAGGAATAATTTTACATTCAATAAAACGAACAATTCTTGAGAGTTTTCTGACTTTTGATAACATGTACACCCTTATAATCCAAATCCCACAGAAAGTTCTTAGTTGATCTTCCAGTTAAAAAAAGTCACCACAGAAAGTAATCAGTTGATCTTCTAGTTTAAAAAGCCACCACACACACAAAAAAAAGTCACCACAGAAAGTAATCAGTTGATCTTCCAGTTAAAAAAATCACCACAGAAAGTAATCAGTTGATCTTCCAGTTAAACTTGCTCTGCTGCTTAGTCACTCAGTTGTGTCCCACTCTGTGAACTCATGGACTGTAGCCCACCAGCCTCCCCTGTCCATGGGATTCTCCAGGCAGAATACTGGGGTGAGTTGTCATTCTCCAGGCAAGAATACTAGAGTGGCTTGTCATTCCCTTCTCCAGAGAATCTTCCTGACCCAGGGATTGAACCCAGGTCTCCCACATTGCAGGCAGATTCTTTACCATCTGATCTACCAGGAAAGCCCAGTTAAACATCCCCAACCCCAATTCACTGGTTAGCCTTCTATCACCTTAGCTTAGTTTTGCCTGTTACAGAACTTAAAAAAAATGGAATTGTTTTTGTGTTAGCTTCTTTCACTCAGAATAATGATTTTGAGATTCATTTGCATGGGCTTCCCTGGTGGTTCAGACAGTAAAAAATCTGCCTGCAATACAAGAGACCTGGAGTCTATCTCTGGGTCGGGAAGATCCCCTGGAGAAGGGAATGGCTGCCCACTCCAGTATTCTTGCCTGGAGAATTCCACGGACAGAGGAGCCTGGCAGGCTGCAGTCCACGGGGTCTCAAAAAGTTGAACACAACTGAACGACAAACACTTGTATGCAGTTGCATATGAGCAGGTTTTTTTTTTTTTTTTAATTGTTGACTGGGCGATGTAAGTTCACAGTGGTGAAATTCTGGAGGCAGAATACCATTTTTATAGTTGAGTAGTTTTACCACAATCCATTTATCTACTTATCTCCTGATGATCTTTTGAGTTGTTTCTAGTTTGGGGCTATTACAAACAAAGTTGCTATCAACATTTTTGTACAATATATGTATAAATTTTTATTTCTCTTGGATAATACCTAGGAGTGAATTTGGTAGATCTCTGCTTACGTGTATATTTAACTTTATTTAAGAACAAACAGTGTTTTCTAAAATGGTTGTGTCATTTTATACAACCACTGGCAGAGTGTGTAAGTTCTAGTTGCACCACAGTTTTACAAATGTTTCGTGTAGTCAGTTTTTAAAATTTTAGCCATTTAAATGGATATGAAGTGGTATCTCGTTGTTATCATGGTGTGTTTTTAAATTAGTGCATTTTGGAGATTTTTCCACATCAGCACATATAGATCTGCTTCATTAACTTTAACAGCTGCTCAATCTCTCACAGGATGGATGCGTCATAATTTATTTAACTAATCCTCTGTTGATGGACAATAAGGCTGTTTCCATCTTTGATAATGCTCCACAAACGTTCTTGTTGATGAGTATTTGTGTAAATGTGCAACTATACCTTTAGGATAAGCTCCTGGAAGTTGAATTTCTGGGTCAAAAGATATTTGCATTTAAAATTTTGGATTGATATTAATGGACTCTTCATGTAACAGATCAAATTAGCTCTTATCACAGGAACTAAGATCCCCAGAGCCAAGTGTTCCCCAGTCCTCCCATGATACACATCTCAGCATTCCAGAAGACTCAACACTTTTTGACATTTGATCTGATATGATGTCTCTCTTTGACACAATCTTTCTAAAATTACATTTTCTTCTATAAAATGGATGTACTATCATCTGCTTAGTCATCTCCCTACGGCTGGATATTCACTGAGGTTGCTCTAATCTGGAGCTCACTGCAGACAGCATTGTGGTGAACAAGTCACCCTGCACTTTTGGGACTTCCCTGGTGGTCCAGTGATTAAGACTTCATATCCCAATGCAGGGGGTGAGTGTTTGATCCCTGGTCAGGGAGCTAAGATCCCACATACCTCTTGGGCAGAAAACCAAGACATGGAACAGAAGCAACAATGCAACAAATTCAATAAAGACTTAAAAAAAACAACCAAACCCTGCACTTTTGTGCAAACAGTTGCCCAAGCAAATAATAGCTAACATTTACACTTGCAATGAGACAGGTACTGCTCTAAGCCCTTTGTGATGTACTTTCTCAAAACTACTAAAGGCTAGCTAATATTATTATTAGCTTAGTGTTAGAGATGTGAAAGTGAATAATATCTTCAAGGTCCTAGGGCTGATAAGAGACGTTAGTGTGTAGAGCTTAGTTGTGGCCAACTCTTTGCGACCCCATGGACTGTGTCCCACCTGGCTCCTCTGTCTATGGCATTTCCCTGAGTAAGAATACTGGAGTGGGTTGCCATTTCCTCCTCCAGGGGCTCTTCCTGACCCAGGGGTTAAACCCACGTCTCCTGTGTCTCCTGCACTGGCAGTCAGGTTCTTCCCCAGTGAGCCACCTGGGAAGCTGATGTGAGACGCTGCTGGAGTTAAAGCCCAGTCGGCCTAGTTCCAGTCAGTGGTCCTGGCCACCATGCTGAGAGGCCCGGCTTGGAGTTCCAGACTGAGGATTTGGTTCAAAGTGAGATGCTGCTAAATTACTTCCCAAGAAGGTTGTGTCATACTCTGATCCTACCAGAGGGAATGTGAAGGTCTCTTTCCCCTCCAAGGAGTATGTCTTCTTCATTTCCATATCCTGGGTTTGGGTATATAGAAATGCAATACACCCAGCATAAGGTCCACCATAAAGAAGGTAGGTGACTGAAGGCTGCTGACCAAAGGAATAGTTGAGACTTCCCTGGTGGTCCAGTGGTTAAGAATCCACCTTGCAAGGCAGAGGTTTGGTACCTGGTTGGGGAACTAAGATCCCCAGTGCTTCCAAATAAATCAATTAAAAAAAAATAAAAGGATTGGATGGATGAAGTGGGGCAGACAGGTGTGACCTACGTCACATCATATTGCCCAGTGTGGGGTCTTGCCTTGATATGGATCATTTTTAAGGTCTTTACTGAATTTGTTACAATATTGCTTCTGTTTTGCCTTTTGGCTTTTTGGCAGGAGGCATGGGAGATCTTAGCTCCCAGACCAGGGATTGAACCTGCACCCCCTGCACTGGAAGGGGAAATCTTAACCACTGGACCACCAGGGAATCCTGCCTTGAATATTAATTCATTTTATACAAGTGTGAAGTGTTCCTTATTTTCCTTATTTTTCTCTTCTTAACTCAGAGTGGCTGCTCTCCGGCCCTGATGAAGTGTTTCCTTCTGATAAGAAAGGCCTTCTGTGACCATCCTGTATAAAATAAGAATCCCCACATCACCCTACAGCTCCATATTCCTCTTACTCTGCTTTTTCTCCATAGCAACTATCCCTTTCTGACACCTATTTACTACTTTTATCACTTCTATTTTATTGCTTATCTCCTTGGTCTCCCCTTCTCTCTTCCACAATAGAATATAAGCTTCACAATGGTAGTGGCTTTGTCTGTTTTCATCACTCATTTATCATCAGGGCCAAGGACATTTCCTGGTCTTACCAGAAGTTCAGACAATATTTGGTGAAGATGGCGTTTATTCTTTGTTCCAGGAGCTGGAGCTGCAGCAGCCAGTGGGACAGAGGACCTGCCCTCAAGGCCTGACAGGAAACCTGACCCGGCTTAGGAGCCTGGAGCCTGGAGATGCTCTCGGCGATGGGCTGAAGGTCACATAGATTTCTAAAGGAAATCTAGAAGAGACAGCCAATGCTCTCAGAGACCCGGCCCGCCCGCCCCACAGCGCCTCCTGGCGGCCTCCCTGCGGGCGGAGCAGGAGCTGCGCGGAGCGGCGGAGGGACCTCGCGCGGGGCGGCGGCGGGACCTCGAGCGGGGCGGCGGAGGGACCTCCTTCGGCTTGCGCACTGGCAACCTGGCGAGCTCTCCGGCCGCTTCTTCCCGACTTTCAGATACTTCTGTTTTCGGCCGGGGCGGAAAGAGGAAGGAGGACTGGGGAAGGGCGAAGTGAGGGGAGGGGCCGACAGGGAATTAGGAGGGAGGTCAGAATCTTGACGACTTCTTCCTCCGCGTCATACGCAAGACATGTTTATTCAGTTTCGAGGTCCCCTTATTTTGGGATATCCTTGCTTTTCCTCCGGACCCCTTCGAGTCTTATCTTCGTTCCCTTCCTCCCACGCCTCGCGAGGCGAGGGGCTGCGAGGTCAGAAGGCAGAGACGAGTGCCGCGCTTAAGTTCTCCTGGGACACGAAGTCCCTCGGCATTGTCCTGGGCTTTGAGATCAAGCAGGCGGGGCTTCCGTGTTTGCGTTCAGGCTCCACGATCGGCGGGCCCTGGGCGCGTCCCTTCGGGCTTGGTTTGGTGGAAGCCCTGCCCTACGACCTACTGGGAGTGAAGAGCCTGCCCGAGCCGAGGTCAGGACGCCACCTGGCGGCCGAAGCCCGTGTCCCGCAGCCCAGGTGTGCCTAGTACGTGCATGCTAAGTCGCTTCAGTCTTCTCTGACTTAATTCTCCAGGCAAGAATACTGGAGTGGGTTGCCATGCCCTCCTCCAGGGCATCTTCCGCAGCCAGGGATGTCTCTTACCTTTCCTGCACTGGCAGCCGAGTTCTTTACCACTGGCGCCACCAGCGCCTTTAGGGGCTCCTTGAGCACAGGGATCCCGGTGTTGGCGTCACTTACCAGGCTCTGCCCTCCTGCCCTTAACACAGGATCCCTGGGTCCATTTCACTTAGCGATTGGATCATTTGGAATAGGCATGTTAAGGTGGTATTAGGTGCTGTTGTTGTTGCTAGGTCGTGTCTGATTCTTTGCGACCCCATGGACTGCAGCACACCAAGCTTCCTTGCCCTACACTATCTCCTGGAGTTTGCTCAAACTCATGTCCATTGAGTCGGTGATACTATCAAGCCATCTCATCCTCTGTCACCCCCTTCTCCTCCTGCCCTCAATCTTTCTGGGAAAGGGTCTTTTCAGGGTCTTTTCCAAGGAGTCACCTCTTCTTCATGTCAGGTGGCCAAAGTATTGGAGCTTCAGCCTCAGCATCATTCCTTCCAATGAGTATTCAGGGTTGATTTCCTTCAGGTTTGACTATTTTGATTTCCTTGCAGTCCAAGGGTCCCTCAAGAGTCTTCTCTAGCAATTTGAAGGCATCAGTTCTTCAGCACTTAGTCTTCTTTATGGTCCAACTCTCACATCCATACATGAATACTGGAAAAACTATAGCTTTTTGAATAGACAGACCTTTGTTGCAAAGTGATGTTCCTGCTTTTAGTATGTCTGAGTTTGTCATACCTTTCCTTTCAAGGAGCAAGCTACAGTCACTGTAGTCATGGCTATCGTCACTGTCTGCAGTGATTTTGGAGCCCAAGAAAAGAAAATCTGTCACTGTTTCCACTGTTTCCCATCTATTTGCCATAAAGTGATGGGATCAGATGCCATGATCTTTGTTTTTTGAATGTTGGGTTTTAAGCCAGCTTTTTTTTACTCTCCTCTTTCACTCTCATCAAGAGGCTCTTTAGTTCCTCTTCACTTTCTTCCATTAGAGTGGTTTCATCTGAGGTTGTTGATATTTCCCTGGCAATCATGATTCCAGCTTGTGATTCATCCAGTCTGTCATTACACATGATGTACTCTGCATGTAAGTTAAATAAGCAGGGGGACAATATACAGCCTTGACATACTCCTTTCCCAATTTTGAACCAGTCCATTGTTCTATATCCAGTTCTAACGATTTCTTCTTCTTTTTTTTAAAAATATTTTTGTGTGTGTGTGCGAACCATTTTCAAAGTCTTTATTGAATTTGTTAACAATATTGTTTCTGGTCTATGTTTTGGTTTTTTGGCCGTGAGACATGTGGGATCTTTGCTCCCCAACCAGGGATCAAACATGCACCCCTTGTATTGGAAGGTAAAGTCTTAACCACTAGACTGCCAGGGAGGTCCCTGACTAATTCTTCTTGACTTGCATACAGGTTTCTCAGGGGACAGGTAAGGTGGTCTGGTATTCCCATCTTGTTAAGAATTTTCAATGGTTTGTTGTGATCCGCAGTCAAAAGCTTTCACATAGTCAATGAAGCCGATGTTTTTCTGGAATTCCCTTCCTTTCTCTATGATCCAGTGGATGTTGGCAATTTGATCTCTGGTTCCTCTGCCTTTTCTAAACCCAGTTTGTACATCTGGAAGTTTTCAGTTCATGTCCTTCTGAAGTCTAGCTTGGAGGATTTTGAACATTACCTTGCTACCATGTGAAAAGAGTTCAATTGTACAGTAGTTTGAACGTTCTATGGCATCGTCCTTTGGGATTGTAATGAAACCTGACCTGTTCCAGTCCTGTGGCCACTGCTGAGTTTTCCAAATTTGTTGACATGTTGAGTATATAACTTTAAAGTATCATCTTTTAGGATTTGAAAAAGCTCAGCTGGAATTCCGTCACCTCCACTAGCTTTGTTCGTAGTAATGCTTCCTAAGACCCACTTGACTTCACACTCCCAGATGTCTGGCTCTAAGTGAGTGACCATACCATTGTGGTTATCTGGGTCATTATGGCCTTTTTTGTATAGTTTCTCTTTGTATTCTTGCCACTTCTTCTCAATCTTTTCTACTTCTGTTAGATCCTTACTGATTCTGTCTTTGTCATACCCATCTTTGCATGAAATGTTCCTGTGGTATCTCCAGTTTTCTTGAAGAGATCTCTAGTTTTCCCATTCTGTTGTTTTCCTGTTTCTTTTTGTTGTTCCCTTAAGAAGGCTTTCTTATTTCTCCTTGCTATTCTCTGGAACTCTGCATTCAGTTGGATATATCTTTCTCTTTCTTCCTTGCTTTTTGCTTCTCTTCTTTCTCAGCTATTTGTATACCCTCCTCAGACAACTATGTTGCCTCCTTGCATTTCCTCTTCTTTGGAATGATTATGGTCACTGCCTCTCATACAATATTATGAACCTCTGTCCCTAGTTTTTCAGGCACTCTGTCTAACAGATGTAATCCCTTGAATCTATTCGTCACTTCCACTGTATAATTGTAAGGGATTTGATTTAGCTCATTCCTGAATGGCTGGTTTTCCCTACTTTTGTCAATTTAAGGCAGAATTTTAAAATAAGGAGCTCATGATCTGAGCCACAGTCAGCTCCAGGTCTTGTTTTTGCTGACTGTATAGAGTTTCTCCATCTTTGTCTGCAAAGAATATAATCAATCTGTTTTCAGTATTGATCATCTGGTGGTGTTCATGTGTAGAGCTGTCTCTTGTCTTGTTGGAAGAAGGGTGTATGCTGTCACCAGTGTGTTCTCTTGACAAAACTCTGTTAGCCTTTGCCCTGCTTCACTTTGTACTCCAAGGCCAAACTTGCCTGTTACTCCAGATGTTGGTAGGGTTGGTCCATCTGCCCCCAGGGCTGGAAACGACACTGGAGGCAGCTGTGGAACTGGAGGAGTGGCCACAAAAAAGGGGGTAGAAGGTAGAACTGAAAGAGCCTGGTGGCAGTCAAAGAAAAGGCAGGGGCGTCTTAGGGTTTCTTACTGTTGTCTTTTTTCATAACTTGATTATAATTTTTTTTGTCCTTGTCAGGTTCTTACCTACTCAAGGACAATTTTATTTTATTGATGTAGTGTTACTTTGATATACTAGTAGCCACAATTGCCATGGTGAGCCGCCTTCTCAGTTGATCTGAATTTCTTACAAAGGGCCACGTCAGTGATGGGACAGCATTGCATATCTAGGGTGGCAGAGGCCAACTCTGTAGCCCTCTCTCCTGGTTTGATCGAGGGTGTCCAGTCCCAGAAGTCCAGGTTCCGTTAGTTGCAAAGTTATACTCATTTTCTACCTTACATAGTACAAAATTGTATTTATTTGTTCCCATTAAGCACCTGAAAATACCCAGTTCAGCAATGCTGAACAGATAATGGCAGAAAGTGAAGAGGAACTAAAGAGCTTCTTGATGAAGGTGAAAGAGGAGCGTAAAAAAGCTGGCTTAAAATTCAACATGGAAAAACTAAGATCGTGACATCTGATCCCATCACTTCATGGCAAATAGGTGGGGGAAAAATGGAAACAGCAATGGACTTTATTTTCTTGGGCTTCAAAATCACTGCCAACAGTGACTGCAGCCATGAAATTAAAAGATGCTTGCTCCTTGGAAGAAATGCTATGACCAACCTAGACAGTGTATTAAAAAGCATCACTTTGCCAACAAAGTTCTGTCTAGTCAAAGCTATGGTTTTTTCCAGCAGTCAGGTGTGGATGTGAGAGTTGGACCATAAAGAAGGCTGAGCGCTGAAGAATTGATGCTTCGAACTGTGCTGTGGTGTTGGAGGAGACTCTGGAGAGTCCTTTGGATTGCAAGGAGATCCAACCAGTCAGTCCTAAAGGAAATTAGTCCTGAATATTCATTGGAGGGACTGATGCTGAAGCAAAAGCTTCAATACTTTGGCCACCTGACGTAAAGAGCTGACTCATTGGAAAAGACCCTGATGCTGGGAAAGATTGAAGGCAGGAGGAGAAGGGGGCAGCAGAGGACGAGATGGTTGGATGGCATCACTGACTCAATGGACATGAGTTTGAGCAAACTCTAGGAGATAGTGAAGGTCAGGGAAGCCTGGTGTGCTGCGGTCCAGGGGTTGCAAAGCGACTGAACAACAACAATGCTCCAAAACACAGGTATCCTCTTTCAAAGAGCTGACAGCTTATGTGTGTCATGTGGTTCATTCAGGAGCCTGTGGGTGGACAGGGTGGGGACAAGTCTGGGTGCAGAAGGTGACATTTCTAGAGATTCCTGCTCATATGTGGCCCCAGGTCATTGTCCTAGAGTGGTTGTTCCCAGGTTTTGGAAACCAGTGAAATATCCCCCAAAGTTATTAGGGAAACAATATAGACTTGACTGTCCTTGCAATTTCCCAGGCACGAAAACTGGTGCGGGTTGCCATTTCCTTACTCCAGGGGATCTTCCTGATCTAGGGGTGGAACTCGTGTGTCTTGTGTCTCCTGCATTGGCAGGTGAATTCTTTACCACTAGTGCCACCTGGGAAGCCTGCTGTTTTGGTACATCAAGACATTAGTGTCAACTACAATTGGCAATTGCCATCTGCCTCTACAAGGATTAAATCATATGCTGCAGCTGCTGATTTTTAACACCCCCTGAAAGGAGTTCAAGGTGGAGAGCAGAAATGAGGCACTCTGTGCTCAGGGAAAAACTGGCAAGACAGGTCTTCGGACAGATATTTTCAGGAGCTGATTTTATGAGCCCAATTCTTGTATCTCCTCATATCTAGAAAACCACTAAAATTCTTCATGGTGATGACTGTTCCTCGTGACTAGCAAAAGTCTCATGAGACTAGTAAAAAATCTTTTGGAAAAATAAGTGCTTGATTGCATGTATTCCCCCTTCACAAAAATCATATATATACTAAACTGTCTCCCTTGCCTCTTTGGAGCAGTTTCTCAGAGCTATCTGAGGTTCTGTCTCCTGGGCTACAGTC